CCCCCCCCCAGGACAGCGCCACTGACTGAAGTATCTTTAGGCCATACCCAAAGGGGGACTATTAACATGTTGTTATGCACAGCAGAATTGTAAATGGGCTGACCTATCAATGTCATATACTGTTTCGAAACAACATAGGGGGAACTTCTTCTTTTTCTTTACTCATCCTTACTATCGTCATTTTTGCCTCTATTTCTTTTGTTAGTTTGTCACTCTCTTGTGAACTGCTATTTCCAGGGTGCCTTGATAGTTGAAGCAGACTTTGTGCTGTTGAGGCTAGAGAGGTGAGCATAGTAAGCCTGATTCCCCATTTGGACTACATGTACTCTGTTGACATCCACCCCTTGGTGCTCATATAACCTTATGCAATTTCAAGCGCCGTACAACCTTTCTAAAACTTCACCTTCACCTTCACTTTCACCCACCCCGTAGACAGGATGTTCGTCGGGGCGCTTTTGAAAATTTGGCCACCAGCTTCCTTCACGACTTGCGGTCTTCAGCTTTTCTAAGCGTGTCTTTGAGTCCCAGGCCTGTCCATTTCTTGATGTTGTCCTCCCAACTCTTCTTCGGTCTGCCTCTTCTCTTTTTTCCCTGGCGCTGCCTTGCAGGATCATCTTGGCAAGGCCGGATGAACGGGTGATGTATCCATACCAAAGCAGTTTGTGTTTCCTGACCAGAGTGAGAAGGTCAGCATATGGTCCAATTTCATTTTAAGATCCTTTGTTTGACTTCATCATTTGAGATGTGATCTTTGTATGAGATACCAAGGATTTTTCGGAAGCTTCTCATCTCCATAGCTTTGATCCTTCTTTCAGGGTCTGCAATCAAGGTCCAAGATTCACATGTATACAAACATATTGACATGACCAGGGAACGCACCAGTTTGATCTTTGATGGTGATATTTCTGTCGTTCCAGATGGTTTTCAATTTGGTCATTGCTGTTGAAGTTTGCACTCTTCTGGAGATTATTTCTAGTTTTGATCTTTCATCTGTCACTATTGCCCCCATGTATTTGAAGCTGCGTACGGTCTCGAGCCTCTGGTTGTTGACCTGGATGTCCACTGTGATGTTATTGTTGCTGCTAGACATCAGTTTGGTCTTCTTAGCGCTGATTTCCATGTTGTAGGCTGTGGAGGTCTTTTCAAGACAGTCTATTAAGCTGACTAAATTTTTTCTCTTGTCCCGCCGGTTCGTCTATGTCGTCTACAAAACATAAGTTATTAATCGTTCTGCCCCCAATACGGACTGTTTCTTCTTAATCTTCAAGTGCATCTACATGTGTCATGATTCTGTCCTAGAAAATGTTGAAAAGAGTGGGCGAAAGCAGACAACCCTAGCGTACTTCAACTGTTGTTCGGAACCATTTCCCAATGTTTTTGTTGCAAAAGACTGCGCTCGAAGCTTTGTTGTATAGTTGTTCTATGACTTTGGTCAGGTTGGCGTTGATGTTGTATAACTTATACTATAAGTTCTTGGTTGCCCACAAAGCTTCCTGCCATACTTTGTCAAAAGTCTTTTTGAAGTCCACAAATTCGTGGTGAAGCTCCTGTTGGTGTTGGAGGTACTTTTCCATGAGGATTCTCAAGTTGAATAATTGTTCAGTTGTGCTGCGCCCTGTCCTGAAGCCTGCCTGTTCTTCTGCTATATATATGGCTTCATCCTGTTGAGAATGACATAAACATTACTTTACTAGGATGGCTAATCAGACTAATACTAGTACGATAGTTTTGGCATTGTTGAAGATTGCCTTTCTTGGGAAGGGTGATGATTAAGGTTTGAGTCCATGGTGTTGGTCATTTGCCAGTCTGCTAGATCTTGTTGCAGATTGTCCATAGCATGTCTATCATTGAGTCTCCAACTGGTTGAACTAGTTCGGGTTTGATGTTGTCTATCCCAGCTGATTTCCTTTTCTTCAATAATGAGACTGCTGCCACTATCTCTTCTCTTAAGATACTGCTTTTGTCATTGTCTTGTGATTGGGAGACATTGAGCACTCTTGGATCTCCTGTGGTTTTGTGGGTGTTCAGTTCAGAGCAATATTCTGTCCACCAGTTCTGAACTTCATGTTCCCCCGTTAAACATTTCCCATCTTTACTTTGTATTGATGTGGTCCGCCCTTTTTTGGTACTTGTAAGATCTTTGATGATTTGGTAAGCCTTTTTAGTGTTGTTTTGATTCAGGATGTCTTCTATTTCTTTACACTGTTCTTCAATCCACCTCTTCCTAGATTCTCTCATTCCCCTTTTCACTTGCAGATTCGTCTTTCTGTATTATTTTTCATCTTCTGGTGTCTTTTTCTTGTTTTTCAGAGCTGTTCGTTTCTCACATACTGCTTAACATCTCTTAGTCAATGGATCCCGGGGACCGACGACTCGGGTGTTGCGGTAAGGGTTTTTGCAACTGCACGTAGTAGATATGAGTTCGATCCCCGAATAGACAGATTTGTTATGAAATACAAGACAATATTTGACCACTCTGTGTCAAAACATGAGCCTCCACAAACTTGTCAAATTGGAAGCCTGTTTAATCATTACAGTATCACATGTGATATTTTGTCGGACTGGTTATACAATTATATAACCGCAGAAAATTCTAATACACGGATTCTACCACAAAGTCTTGGTTTTTACTTTAGAAACGGACAAATCTATTCAAACGAAACTGGTCTCTGTAGAAAGTTTCATCAAAGAATGGTCTCTATCTCAATGTTATTATATTCGTGCAAAATTTAGAACCAGCTTTTGTCAATCCAACATTTTCCATGGATGGATTTTCTAATTCTTCTGGATCTCAGACGTGGTCGCCTACTTTTTAGCCTTCTCAGCTCCAATCAGATACGACACATGGGCTATTTTGGGATAGTCTGTATCTTCGCCATTACTGTTCGATTGACTTTTCTGCAAAGTTTGGGTCTGTGGCAGGTTGGTGACTGATTCCATTGCCCTCTATGTCCTCAACATCTAGACGAGGCTGCTGTAT